AGTGCCTGTCACTTGCCCCAGCTCCCGCCAACCTAGCGGTTCGAAAGCATGCAAATGCAAGTAGATCAATAGGGACCACTTCGGTGGGAAGGTAACAGTGTTCCATGTCTAAGTCGCACTGGCCATGTGACCACGGAAGATTGTCTTTGGACAAAAAACGCTTGCTCTATGGCTTGGAAACGGGGATTAGCACCGCCCCCTAGAGTCGAACACGACTGGACAAAAATTGTCAAGGGGAAACTTTAAAAACAACAACAACAGCAGTTTAACCACTGTACCATGAGGCCCTACTTCAAGTGGTAATTCTGAAGTGCCTGGCCTTGCTACTCTTTCTCAGCAATCATGTACAGCTAGAATATCCATTCATCTTTAACATATTTAATATGTTAATAGATTTTTTTAAAAAAACATAGTTCTTAGCTTTGTTCATACAAGAACTAAAAAGGATGAAAGCTTGTTAAAGCAACTAGCAAAAGGAGAATTCCTATACAAAAATAGAAAGGCAAAAGCCTGACACATCCATGAAAAAAAGATTGAGTAAGAGAAACATTAACAAAATTGAGATACTGTCACATATTGGCTATAGTCATGCCTTTAGTATTTTTCAGATTCATTCATCTAAATTATTGTTCTTTCTCTCCTCCCCATTTCCCATTCTCTTTTGTCTTCTTAATGGAAGGGATATATTATTATACTATAAAGGTCAGACAACAAATACAGTAAGTACACAATGTGCATCTGAGTCTCCCCCCCCCCCCCCCGCCCNGAGTAAGTGTGTGCAGCCCTGATCTAACTTGGGGCCAATATGTGTGGGAGAGATTTATATTCCAACATCATTTATTTTCCAATATTTCTTCTTTTCAAAGGGACTACAAACAGGATAAAATATCTTCATTGGTGCCAAACCTAAACATTTGGCATGTGTGTATCTGTATGTCTCTAAGAAATAATTTTTAAACATAACATTTCCAATTTCTCTCAGTTATATATTGCAAAGGAATATGTTAACTTGCATCAATAAGCAGAAAAACATACAATTGTTTATAGCACCACCATTTATTGCCATGAATACTTTTAGATTTTTAAAAAATTCTCCTGTGAAGCAGGCCTTCATTGCTGTGTTTTAATCTGAATCTGGATTCTAGCAATTTGGGCACAGTACCTTAGTATTAGCACTGCCATTACAACTTGCCACAAGAGGGAGCAGTGCAGACTTTGCAGCAGCAAAAGATGTTACCAAAGGTCAGAGGGTGATGATGCTGTTAGAATTCAAGAGGGAATCATGAGATACCAACATCTAAGAATGTTTTGCCAGGTCCTATAAAGCTGCTGGTTTGATGCAAGCTTCTTAGCAATCAGGGTGGTCTTGGCTTACCCACCTCCAGTTACATGTAGACACCAGACATGAAAAATAGCTCAGCTTTTTAAAAGAATGAAATACCACACTAAAAATGGTAAAAACAAACACAGACACACACACACATATACACCAAAAACACATTCAGGAGAAAGCTTGAAGGAACGAAAAGCTAGGAGCTAATATCTGAATAAACATGCATATTACCCTGTGAGGATCCTACGCACAAGGAACGTCCGCCTCCCCAAGACTGGTAAATTCCTTCACTAAAATCTGTCCTTGGGGCAAGAGGAATGGAATTTGAGTTTTGACAGGGCTACCAGGCAAATAGGTGAGGCCAGACCGGTTTCAGTTTTCATGAAACAGGCCAAACCACGTTCGTGTATTTGGAACACATCAGTGTGGTTGTCTGTGACAAAATATAAAGCAGCTTTGGTTTCTCAAGTCTGTAACTGGTCCCCAAATACAAAGGAAGCAGTCTTCTCGAGATGTCTTGGACACTTTCCTGCATCTCCGTTGCAGCCAGGAGGCAGACATTGGCATTCTGCACCTCTAAATGTACTGAAGTACTGGAGCCCTTCAGATGCTTTGGACTCTCACTTCTATAAACCACACTATCTGAGGCGGATAGAAATTATTGCTCAGAAAAATTGGATTGAAATGAAAGGGACTTTCACATGCTGACACAATTGAACCGCTACCATGTTTAAATCTCTGCTAAAGCATGTAGTTTACCGGAGAAGGCTGGGTCATTTGGGCTCCCTTTTATGTATATCCTTCCTCTTAAACCTCTTCTATGCCAAGCCCCATGGAAACAAATGTTAAACCAACCAGTCACGGGAGGTTGGAAATGTGCAATCCATGATGGTCAGATCCCTGTCTCCCAGGAAACGAAACTAGAATTTTCCACTTTTTGCATAACTAGCTTGACAAAACAGAATGTACCTACTTTCAGTTTCCAGAAGAACAAGTCCTGCTGATTTTGGATCATTCATCCTCTGATTTGCATTTCGGACACAGAGAAGTCCACAAAGTCTTTTGTTTACCTAAATTTCCATCGCTCCATTTCCTTCCATTACTTTCAAAACATCTTCATCTGATTGCAGTGCAAGAACTTGCTTTCCCTTCAGAGTTGCTCACATTGGGTTGCATGCAGGGTAATTTGTGCTTCACCCCATTCTCCCTTGGCAGATAACAGTGGGTTCTCTACTGCTATAATGCAGAAACAGTTGGGTAACCTTATTTGATTAAACCACCGTTTTTCTAGAGAATGGCCTCAACAGGCATTTGCTACTGACCTGGCCTCTGAGCACCACTGATTCTATGCTGTGCATCAGCAGGAGTCCTAAGGGAGGGTAATCAGTGGTCATAGTGATGAAGTTTTGAAAAGCATAATGTAGAAAAGAAAAGTTATGGGACTGAATATATAGGACTTTTGCTTCCTTGACAGTGTAAACTGACCATTCTTGAAGGAGTATGTATGTCAATACTTATTCCATTACAACAGCAACCTGAAACCTCTGCTCAATGAAACCTCAGTGTGCAGCATTAGTAAGAATACTAGAGCTGTGTTCTTCTGGGAACTGGATGTGTACACAATGTGTGTAGACAGTAACCAGATTAGATAGCTTTAGAAAGGGATACAGAGCATTGGGATATCAAGTGCAGCTGGTCATTGTGGTTACATACAACCTTTAGGATTCAGAAACATAATGTCTTCAAAAACCAATTGCTGTGGAATTACAGCTAGAATTGACTACATGTCTTGCTTTGGACCTCTCATAGGCTATCCATCATGGAAGAAAGGGTGGAGAACTAGGCAGGGCTTTAATCTGATTTCTTAAACCTTAATTTAAAATCTTGGAGCTGGGAGACTTGTATGGCTAGTTCAACAGTAGCTTCATTGGATACATCTGACTTTGTCACTATCTGCAAGACTGTTTATTCCCTTACCTGTTAAAGGGAGATTTACACAATAGAAGCATTCTAAATGTAAGACACTTTGCAAAATCCAAAGCATCATGGAAATAATTTCCAAGTTCTCCACTGAATTGCTTCAGAATAAGCAAGCACAATCTACATGCCTATCTTCTATTGCTTTACGTTGGCTTCCATTTCTGCTTTGCTGGAATCACGTTTCCCAACAGCCAGCCAAGCACTACAGATGGAGAGCTGGTACCTATCCAATTTACACTCTGTATTGTGCTTCAAGCTATCCAAATTACTTACTGGATTATCTATCCTGCCGAACAAATGGCTGCCCACCTCCCTTCTGGTTCCATCATGTCTGAGAATCCACTAATACTTCCTATTGTTCTTATTTTGGGGAGGGGACAATGTGAACTCCTTTTCTACCAAGCATCTCCCAAGTCAAGTGTCTCCTTTCAGTTAACAGTTTTCACAGCCCGTATAACATTGGTTCTGAAATAATTGCACTGGTTGCCAGTACATTTCAGTTTTGAGTTCAGAATGATGATGATAACCTATAAACTAAAGCTACAGTATAAACAGTTTGGGACCTGAAAATCTGAGGGAACATATTTCCCTATAAATATCCGCCAGACACCAAAATCTGTGTTGCAGGAAAGAGGGACTTGCTTCCTCTGTGTCCCACTATGGAGAATAAATAGTAGGCATCCTTCAGTCTCAGACTATGGTAACATATTCTGTATGGAGGACTTGGAACAGCATCTAGTTGGCTGAGAAGGCCAATTAGAGAATGACAATCCCTTCCACACTGAAGACAAATACAATATGTCCCCTGTCCAGCTCCCTGATTATGCTGCTTTCAGGACTGCCTCTTCGCTTCGGCCTGCTGGACAAGGGTCTCTTCAAATTCCACTATGCAAAAACACAGGGAATGCTTTTTTGGCTGTATCACTTTGTTTATGGAATGCTCTTCCCTTAAAGGCTTGACTGGCCCAACACTGATTTCATTTCGGGGCCAAATTAAACGATGGTTATTAAACAAGACCTTTGGTAATTAAGGTAATAGGCTGTGAAGCTTATTTTTTATTTTTGAGTTTTTAATGCAAGTATAGTTTTAAACAGGCTGGATAAGTCAGTGAGTAAGGTATCTGGACACAGAACCAACGGTTGGGACTTCAGTTCCACACTATGCATCCCAGAAGAGCCAGCCTACGTGGCCTTGGGCAAGCTGCATAGTCTACTTCTGAGTGCTCTCTACCTAGAAAAGACTGAAAAGGGTCACCATAAATCAAAATTGACTTCATGGCACACACTTATTAATATAGTTGTAAAAGGTTGTAAAATCAAATTGCATTTATATTGCTTTTACTGCTGTACTCCACCTGGACATAGCAAGATATAGGGTGAAATATAAATGTTCTCAGCCATGGAAATTCACTGGGGGTGGCAACAGCAAAATTGCTTCTTAAATATCTTGAAATCCCTATTAGGATTGCTGTAGGTTTGATATGACTTGATGGCACATGATCATATGAATTATTTGAGGCCTGGGGCTGCTACATAGTAGTATTCTGTATTTTGCATTCAGAAGGTTGAAGGTTCTGCATTTTGGTAAATGTGCTGTTCAAAGTAAGTAAATTTAAGTATCTCATTGTGTTTGGCTCAAGTCCTGAGATCCTAACCTGAATATTTAATTTGAAAAGAAACACGGGAGGAGGTCATACCAATCTTTTTATGACTGAAAATATTGATGCCAGATGTCACAGCCCTCAAATCACAACCAAGTGCACTACAATATTCTTCTTTTATTTAGTTTACAGAAGAATCTATCAGTACAGGTTGCAGAAAGAAAATGTTTAGTGCTATTTACAATTTGTTTTAAAACTCTGCTCTATACAAATTTAATTTTGATCATTATGAACAGTATCTTTGTAGGTCTACTGCATATAAAGCATTTTGTCAAAGCAATAACATTGAATAAAATAATCTGATTACATTTAAATGAAGTTGATCATTCAAAAAACACAGAACATTTGTAAGGGCCATGGACTCAAAAAGTATAGAACACAATGTCAACCTGCATTTTTTTTTAAAGCCTAGAGCTATTTATATGGAATATTGTTTTATTATTCTACACGCCAATCTATTTAAGTTCTATAGTCATGTTTTTATAAGACTTTAATTAAATATATTCTACAGATTTGTAATTTCAACTAGGAAGAATTTCTCCCTAGTGGAAAAAATATAAAATCTTTTATATTCTTTACAGGTTTAGATGAAACTAACTCATGCTTTAGTGCTGTGCAAATTTTTTTAGCATATCAATTTTTAAATTATATAAAGTAAAAGAATGGCATCCTTTGTAACTGTATGCTTTCAAAAACCAGCTTTTGATTTCCGATATAATTGCAAGCACTAATACCAAATGCAGCTAACATAAACAAACAAAAACTCAGCATATGGCAGAGATTTTTCTATTTTTTTCTAAAAAAAATTTCCTTTAATTATTTCCTTTGAAGTTACTAATGAGTAAGCATGACACTGGACACTAAGGTACAGATGAATAAGAATGATTGAAAAACATCAACTGTTGATATTCAAAGACATAAAATTGATTAGTAAATGAGGTCTTCTAATATTTATGCACATTAATAAAAGCCTATGAACTACAGGAAATTACCCCTCCCATATTAAGGCTAGGAAATGCACTCTCTGCACTTATTTGTGCTGTCTAAACAAGCACTCAACTAATGTACAAGAGAAGAGTGCACATCAATGAAAAAAATTAGTTGCAACAGCCCTCTACAGAGTGCTTTAAAATTACAGGCACATCGTTCGTTGCAGTGAAAATATAAATGTCAATAATCAGACAATTTTATAGTTAGTATTGTGCCAGTTGGCCACCAAGGCTGACTTAGGTAGAATTTACTAATTAGTAATTATTTTTCCCCTTTTCAGTTGGCCATTACTGAATTTAAGAAAGAAAGAAAAAAGACTACTGATAGCATTTTCCAGTGCTGATTCATATTCTCTGTATTTGAAATATTTAAGAGCTTTTGCTGATGAGGTCTATATCTTGTCAAACCATTTTTAGTGCAAAGTGCATCTAGAAATCTTGATTGGTTAAAGTTCAGGTTAAGAATGATTTTATGGCAGCAAAATTATTTCTGTTGAAGAGGACAGTTAACCTTAGAGAGACACTTTAACCTTTCTAGGAGAGAAAATGCATTGGAGAAGTAATGCATTAACAACCTTGTTCGAAAACCCAAATAGTAGAAATTAAAATCATTGTTTTTAAAAAAGTGACTATTTTCATGTAATATTTCAGTTCAATGGATTCACAAGTAGACTGTTCCTAAGGGGATTTGAAGTGATGTTGGTCTCCTCTAGTCCAGCGGCATGAAAGACGAAAAACTATTCTACATCACAAGTAGCAGATACAGCAGAGCTTTTACAGGATCACACAGCAATTGCTCTCTCCAGTTTTTTCACGATTTCTTTGACCTGCAAAACATTCAAGATGATTCGTATGAAGATTTTCTATGTGATCTAAAATGAGAAAATCAATTCTGAAGAAGAGTACATGTTTTGATCCAACATTTTTAAAATGGCAAGTCAGACTTCCAAAAGGAAATTTAAATCCAGTAGTTCTATTTAAAAAAAATAATGACACGCCTGGAAATCTCAATTTCTCACTATGATTTATATAGATAAGTCACAACACATTTATTTCTTCATAAATGCAGGGAGCCAACCAATGGGCACCCTGAATGTACATCAATTTACTGCTGTTTAGCCTACCTTGAGAGTTTGGTTCTGGCAATGTTTCTCTAGCCACCAAATGCATCACTGTGGTCTTGCCAAAAGGGAGTTTTAATGCTGTAGGGAAAGAAAAGGGTGGTTTGTTAATACTTATATTCATTCATACAGTATTGGAAGTGATCATTTAATTGGATATTGGTCTTTTCAGAGTATGCCACTACAACATTCAAGCCACACATCTCCCAAAAGTGGTACTTGCTTTTTCCATTAGGTCCAGTTGAAGCTCTCAAAAAACTTACAAATATTGGCCAATTGACTCAATTAGGATTTGGTGAGTTAACTCCTCCGTAGATGATCTGCTGTTCAAGGAAAAGGGGAACATTGCAAGCATTGTTCAAATGGGCCCACTCTAGTTCCAATGTACTATATCAAAGTAAATTGCAATAGAGTAAGCCTATTTAAATCAATGGAAATTACAGATGAGTTAACTTACCAAATTCTCACTGATTCAATGGGCCTACTCTAGTGTAACTTACTACATTAAGTAACAGGATTTCAGCCAGTAGGTTGCAGGAATAAAAAGCAAAGTATTGCAGCACTGGAAGAGTTAAGACAAGCCTAAATTTACGCAACTGTGAAGCCCAATTAAAGAATCTGGTAATTAAAAATATGTTATTTCGATGTCTGTGGACCTTAACAGCTTTACCAGATCAGAATCATTTCATATTGTAAGTACAGTGGTGCCTCGCATAGCGAGGTTAATCCGTTCCGGATTAACCTTCGCTATGCTGAAGCATCGTTGAACGGGGCAGGGATTTCCATTGGAACGCATTAAACATGGTTTAATGCGTTCCAAATGGGCCAAATACTCACCGTTCAGCGAAGCTTCTTAATGGCCGGCAGCCATTTTCGCGCCCTCGCCTCGCTTAATGAGGGCGCGAAAATGCTGCGCGCGGCCATTTTGGGCCATTTCCGGGCATTTTGGCCGCTGAACAGCTGATCGTCGGGCTTCGTTTTGCAAAGATCGGTAAGCGAAACGCTTACCGGTCTTCGCAAAGCGAATTTAGCCCTATTTAAAAAACGTTAAGCGATCGTTGTTATGCGGTGCACATCGCATTAGCGATCCGAAAAAACGGATCATTATGAGATTTCGTCGTTATGCGGTGCGGTCGTTAAGCGAGGCACCACTGTATTTGTAAATACATTTTATTTTATTTTTAGAATAAAAATGCTTTCTCCAGCTATAAGTCCTCCGTGTGTTTTAATGTAGAATAACAAAAGGCTGTAACAGCAGAAATGATGGGGAGTCTTGTCATTTGGTTCTACAGAGAAGCCACAGCCATCAGGTTGTGCCAGCAGGAGGAAAGGGAAATAAGGCCACTCCCAGCACTCTGTTGAGAGACCAACAATGCTTGAGGAACTTTCAAACGGGAACAAGAACCCCAGTTTGTTTTCTCTTCCTGACCAATCTTTTTTCTTTTTGTCACATGCTTTTAAGATTATAGGGACGTGGTGGCGCTGCGGGTTCAACCGCAGAACCCTCTGTGCTGCTGTATGACCAGCAGTCATAAGATCGAATCCATGCAACAGAATGAGCTCCTGTCACTTGTCCCAGCTCCTGCCAACCTAGCAGTTCAAAAGCATGTAAAAATGCAAGTTGATAAATAGGTACCCCCTTGGTGGGAAGGTAATGGCCTTCCATATCTAGTCGCGCTGGCCACGTGACCACGGAAATGGTCTTCAGACAACCGTTGGCTCTACGGCTTGGAAACGGGGATGAGCACCGTGCCCTAGAGTCAGTGATGACTGGACTAAGGGGAACCTTTACCTTTAAGATTATAAGCATAGGGAGTGGGGCTACTATACTACTAACTTTTATAAACATTTCTGGCTGTAGAGCAGTTTTAAAATCCTTTATTTATTCAAAATAAACACAATAAAAACATGTAATGTTTTTACATGCTTGGAGCAATTTAGTAAACAATGTTAAATGACTAATGATGCATAAAGTGGTAGAAGCAAAGATAAGTATTTTTAACGCCAGACCTTTTACTCACCTTTTGTTAAAGTATCTGATCTGAGCTAGCCAAAACGATTTTTGTGTATGTATATACACAAACTTCCACAAACACCCAAACACAACCATCTATATGGTGAATATATATATTCACCTTCAAGAATACATCTATATTTCATCTGATATTTATTAACATCAGTATGAACACTGTATGTATGCAGTATTATGAAGTACTTGCATACAACATCAACTGGGAACATGTATCATGATACTGTAAAAAAACCCACAAAGAATTGGCCACAAGGGGGCAGAACTGAACTGTTTTTCAACTCCTAGTGAGGCTATTTAGTTCTTGTGTAACTAATGATTTGTGCTTCAAAGCAATACTTGACACAGCAAGAAAGCTTTGTTTTATTTCACTTCTTTTTGTGCAATTGAACCAATGGCATAGTGTTTACATGTGAACTGCCATAAATTAAGATATTTCTATAGAAATTATATGTTGCATATTGAGTTGTGCAACTCAGCATGCAACAGATGATAACTACAGAGTACATTTCTTAATTAATCAAAATTTTTGTCTAGAAATTATGCCATTTATGTAGCTGTGCAACAGGATTTCATCCATCGTTTCCTACGCTAGAATTCCTATAGTATTGACAGCTTAATTTATAAAATGATAATTTCCTCACTAAGTACAAACTAATGAGTAAATATTTATCTGACAAGACTGGAGAGCACTGCAGACCAAAAGCCCTACCAATTACTTGAAAATGAGTATTTTTTTTCCAATACTGGCTGAAGCATAGCTTTGAATTACAATTGTAAAGGAGAAATCCTTTCAATTTTAATTCCAAACACCAGACAGATCACACACAAAGCTCAGAACTTTTAGATTCTGCCAGACAAACTATGCTAATGGCACTACTTTTTAATTTTATTGCTTAGCCAAGGATCCTCCACATAAACAAATTCTCCAACATTCTGTTTATTTTATTACCTCCTAGTGTGACATTGCCATGAAGAAACCGTCCTTGATAAATAAGTCGCAGAATATTTGGACTACTCACTTGTTCTTCTTCCCAGTCTGGAACAAAAAGAGAAAAGATGTCAAGTACATTATTTTGATTTCACTCTTTACAACCTGCTTTATTAGACTCTCAAGGATGCTTGCACAATTTAAATAAATGTCTATTAATCATATTTAGTCATCAATTGTACATGAGTTTGTACGTACAATTTGTACATGAGTTTTCTTTTGTTACCACAAGACAGGCAAGGATATGCCTCTTCAGACCTATGAAGCAGTAATGAAGCCAGCAGAGCAGGAGCACAGTTAGAAACAATCATCATCTTAGAACTGCAGAACTGAAGGACCCTATGGATCATCATGTCCAGCCCCTGTCAAGGAGGCACAGTGGGGAATCGAACCTCTGGCTCCACAGTCAGATGCCTAAATCACTGAGTTATCCAGCAACCATTATCCCTGATAACAGCAATTTCATTTACAAACTGAACTACAAGAAAGCAACAGTGGCTTAAATCCAATTTACCTGGTGGGATGGACAGTATGGTAGCAGATTTCTGCTGGGGAGAGGCTCTAGAATGGTGAATGTGCCAAATATGGACACAAAGAAGAAGGATTAAGAGATTTGGAGAAGCTTGTAGGATCAGATGTGTCTTATAGAAAGGGTTTTCTAGACCATGAATTTATACCCCTAGCATCTTGTGGCAAACTCAAAAAATCCCATGTTGTGTTGCTTACTGAACAAGCAAAAATCAAGTCAGGATTCACCTTCCTACTGTGCTCTCTACTTTAGGAGAAGTACAAAATGAGACACTCTAATTGTAGCCCTTCGTTTAGGATTTGAAGTATGCTGTTAACAACTAGACAAGCGGATCAACTCAAAAATTCTCTATGAAGGACACAATGCCAGGCTTATGAGCAGGACAGCCAATACTATCAAGGAATACTGAAAGAGATGTGTATTATGTGAGGACTGGGTGGTTGAAATATATTGTGATGCACAGCAATTCATGTCTTATAAGGTGGCTGCATTTATTACTATCTGCAGAAAGATCTGCATGTTCTTCCTAAGCAGTAGTTTGATACGTATTTTGCAGTTAAGACAGTACTAACTCATGCCCATTGATAACCATACAAAAACTATTAAGTAAAACCTTACTAAAATGCAGAAAAGCAGCAGCTTTTACATATGGCAAAGGTGATGGCAAAAAGGACAATGCCTATTCTCTTAACCACAAGCTTTTGTGAAAACCTATTTCAAAGCAGCACAATAGGATGGCTGAATCAATATAGACTATGTATTCGCGAAGGCTTTCACAGAGTGCTGTCCTCTGAAGATGCCAGCCACAGAGACTGGCGAAACGTTAGGAAGAACAACCTTCAGAACACGGCCAAAGAGCCTGAAAAACCCACAACAAACAATGTAGACTATCTTCAGTAATGGTGACAGAATAGGGAAACAAGTGGCTTGTGCTTACCAAATTCTGCCCATAACAGAAGGTGAATGATGAGTGTTGCTACTATCATTTACTATCATTGAGTTTATCTATAAAAGAATGCTTGTGCTCTCAGTTCTCACTTCTTAAAACAGAAGTTGGTATATGGTTCAAAAGGCCGACTCTGGCCTATGTTAACAGCCCAGAGATACCTCATTAGAAAAATTGAACACAGAAGGGAAAAAAGAACCATAGGGAATGAAAAAGATAAAAGTACATTGAAGGTCAACACTAAGCAGACATTTAAGAGTTCTGCATTTATGAGGAAAATATTCTCCCTCTACTCCATACAACAGATTTGGAATAATGAATAAAGTGTTAAAAACAACACATCTTTGTGCTACTTACCCATTGGCCAGTTATCATATACATGTTTTGCAATGTCTGCTGCCGAATCATTTGGTGAGAACAAGAATTCTTTCGTTTTTCCGCTTACCAAAATGAGGCGCAAATTTATCTGGGGGAAAAAGAAAAAAATTAAGTAGATTAAAGGAAAGAAGATGTATCAACAATTTTAGAAGTCTAATGTTATGCTTGAAAAACTA